TCATGTTCGTGATACTACCTTTTTATTATACTACGATGGTGACAAACAAGCATACGGCCCATCTGATGGTCAACGGTTAACGTAGCCTATAAACTCTTGAAACACCAGGAGTATCACGTGCACGTTGCCGACCCTTAAGAAACCTTAATATATAGTATCCTTCTTGAAAACCTCTATGCTGTAGTACCTTGAGAAAACCTCGACAGGTAGTTCATTCCACAATCTAGGTCATCTGAAACCACACTGTCCGAAAGTCCGAGACCACTTAGGTTCTAACGTTCTATGTATTTTCATATGAAATTATAGAAAAATCTGTTCAGTCATTTAGTCGTGGAAGTTAATTAACAGACAGAGAGACAGACATACTTCCGCATTCATAATATTAGTATAGTATATACCTAATATATTGTACTAATATTATACTATAAATTTGTTAACACATAATTTCGAATTCCTGTGGTCTTTCGATCATTCAGAAGAAGTTCATAAATTGACTAAATAATATTCATCTGAATAATAAATTCCACTTCGAAAGACGTCGTGATTTTTGTGGTAAGAGATTTTCAATCTGTAATAATATCGCATGTATCTTATAAGTATAGATTGTATTACCTACACCACAGATAACATAATATTACATAATAGGGCGAGTGCATATGGTACTCTAAACCTGCGAAAGTGCTTATGGAGTGACTGATGCCAATTGCCGCCTGACGGATACGACTTTAGTATGGGAGCACCACTAGGAGTTCGAACCTCGGCTCAGGCACCTTTTGAATTTGACTAGAGAGCGATCATAGGAGCCGTGATTGGGCGGTTGGATTCATGTCTTAAGTACTCTCGTCATTGCATCGACCCTACACAAACATGTACAAACTTAGAACAAAGTTAGGTGACTCTACTACTCTACTATTATATTTCTTAGTAGATACAAATCCCATACTGCTCATCACTCTTGAATATTAAGAAGGCTTAAAAAATTCTCTACATATTAGCCTAATGCTAATATGTAGAGAATTTTTATTTTTTGTCTATAGATACACTCCACCCCTTTCTATGAACATCTATATACAGGCCACCAAATTGTGCAACTATTTGCGATGTATATAAAACAAAATATAACTAAGCACAAAATTTTAGTAAAATTTAATTAGAATAAAACCCAATACTAGCAACAGTAAGACAGTCTTTAGATTTATTAGATTACCAACCTCCATTACTGTGACAATAGTTTTAACTACTACACCTGAAAATAGATGGCGTTAGTTGTTTCTAAAAAGGAATGTTTTGATATTAAAATAATAATATACCTGGATAATTCACACAACGCAATCTAGACCGTAAAAACATTATATGCACTAGGGACACTTCAAATCGAATAAACACATGGCAAAAATAGGCCTTAGCTTAAAAACAATCTTCAGATTTCGCCAAGCAGAAGAGGAAACGCCACTACACAACATATGTGATTGTGGCGCACTCATGCATAAGTGATATATCTCCTTTGGAAAGTATACACTCTATCCTGAGGAGATAAAAACCATCGCTTCTAACAATATACTTCAAATTTTGTCCTTGGCGTGTCTAGGGATAGGGAACTCTGAAAAAAGGCTGGCATAATAGATCTATGCAGGTCGCAGTGTTCCAGATCTTAGACCCTGATAATAGCCCAAAATCTAACCTAAGATAAGCAAGGTAACTTATGGGTACTAGATATAAATACATAGATACATTATTTTTTGTAAATACAAATATAATTATACATATAAAACACCCAGAACTGTACAAATACATACTTATGAATACAAATTTTGATATGCGAGGAAACGAACTTTCGACTAACGGAAGTAAATCAGTGTACTAAACAACTACACTAACGAGATCGTCAAAATGTGGCATATAATAAGATTCATTTGCGAGTTCCCTTGGTAGGAGCCAAGTTTATAAATCGTATAAACTCTACTGACTAAGTGAGGACGGGCCATGCTTTTATATTACAAGCGTCACCTGCGCCTGGAATCTTCTACTCCAAGTTACGTGATATCTACTATATTTATAAGGCTTCGGTTTACCTGAACGCACATATATATGAATATATTAAAACTAGCAGGCCCGTGCGACTTCGCCTGCGTTACATTTTCCCCGTTTTGTAACAGTTTTCTATTACCTCTGGCGTAAAGGTATATAAGTTGATAGGTTAAGAAATGGTTTAAACAGACATATAAATATAATATTTCTGTACTTTCGTAGACTATATAAAGTCTTCAAGTTTTCAATCTCGCCTACTTCAATAGTCAGGCAACTTCCTTTGTGAGCTGTTTCGATAGATGAAAAAGATTGTAAAATTACACGATAATGTTTATAACATCGTTCTTTAGAATGACATCGCATGAGTGCTATCACGAACATTACGTGATAACGTGATATCCGTAGTTAGTTCAAGTTTATAGACGACGGCTATCACTTACAATCGGTGGTGCCTGTTGTATGTTTGTGTATAATTTATATAAAAAAGCATGATTTGTTCCGCTGTCATACAGACGAATACTTGTTATTTTATAAATTTTGTTGGCTGTCAAAATATACATCTTGGCACTATTGCCAACATCCGCTTGCCAAATAAAAGATTATAGGACGGTTAGTCGTATATACCTTTTATATGAGTGAATGAGTGAGTTTAATAGTAGATATCTTACTAATATTATAAACACTGAATATGTTAGTATGGATAGGTGGATGGATGTTTGTTACTCTTTCATGCAAAAACAACTAAACGGATTTTGATAAAACTTTAATTTAGCTATCAGAATAACACATAGGCTATAAATTAAAAAGTTATTATATAAAATAGAAATATATATACATATAATGTCACGTAAGTGTGATGCAGACAAGGTTGCGCGGGTAAGCTAGATTTAAATAATAAGATTTCACTCTGTCATTAATATATTTCAAAGAAAAGTTACAAATCAACCTCGGTAACATTATTATCTATAAACAATCTGGGAATGAAAATGGACCTGTGAATATTAAATTATCTACTTAAGTAAAATAAAATATACATATATATATACCTTTTCGATTTTATTGTCATTATCAACTGTCGAAGTTGTGGTAAACGTGTTACCACTTATCATACTTACTTTTCAATCCTAGATGGGAAACGGCGAGCTTGCCGTCTCTAGCATAAACTGATAATCACCAGACATGCGTACAAAAATGTAAATTAACACACAATATTTATTTATATGACCTAGAATCTGAAGAATCGAAGCCACGACCTTTGTAGAGTCTATGGTAGCATAGTAAATCAGTGGCCGCTCGGAAAGATAGTTAATACAACAAAAATATATATAACCTCAAAATGTCATTCCAAACACATAATTTTGACGGAAAACACAAGAAAAGTCTATTTAAAACAAGAAAATTTACGATGTAATAACATAGGACGTCTGAAAACATATTTCGTTTTGTCGAAGTGAATTTCCCGCCTTTCTTTATCTGACTCTACGTTATGGCGGCAGGGCATGTAACGTATTATTATTATACCGCCATGTGTAACAATTTAAGGTATATTTTTGATGAAAATAATAACAGAAACAACATTCCAGCTAATATTTTTAACTACCTATATACCTATGTATACGTAGATCGCTGGCTCAAACCCGGCTCGAAGGACCGTTCTGGAAGCCTATCGCTGGCTATCAATTAAAACAAAAACTTTACACAAAATATGTATTATATTTTTGGATAGTAAAACTACTATTTTATGTCCATCCAACTGCGATAAGGATTAAAAAAAGTTACAATACGGCTTGACATAATATTTATGAGTTATTACGTAAATTTTTTATTTGTCTTAATGCGAAGCGAGATGCTATAACCTACACGCTGTTACGCACCTTAAAGAAGATTACCGCATGAAGTCTTAATAATTGCCGTCAAAGATGAAAACTTAGTAAGTTCATTCATTTGTCGTATATAGTTATAAAATATTACTGCAAAATAAACATAAGCTTTAAAAATAATAGAATATTCCAATTTTAAAACACGCTTCCTCACTAAGTACGTCTACCTACTCTACTTCAAACGTCTAGTTGCAAACACTTCGCATATTTTTACAACCAACTTCAAACAAACAGAAGAACCGACTGAATTGAGGTGAAGACAATTCGATTATATTTTTTATATCTGTTTCTTAGAATTGCATTCTACTTGAACCGATTTTAATAAATTTACTTTTATTTGAATGTCGGTACTTCACTAAGATCCCATACATATTTTTTTTATCTCAGGACAATTCACATACCGCCACCTAGACCTAAGTTAAGCTACCTAAAGCTTGTGTTAAGGATGCTAGATAACTGATACGAATACTTAGATATTTTTATTCGTAAATACATACATATTATATATAGAAAACACCCAGACTGGCGCAAACAATAATACTCATGAATACAAATATTTATGCCGTGCGAGGAATCAAACCCTGGACCATTGGAAGTAAGGCGGTTTGTGTGTTACACCGCTAGTGCTACACCGCTAGACCACCGAGGTCGTCAAATGTAGATGTGACTAGTAGTTGAATAGCCATAATAATACGATTGAAGTCGGTATGGTCAGGCCCTAAATACGATATTACAACATATATTTTCTTTTTTTTACAAACAACCTATGAAGATTACTTTTTACAATGTTTGTAAAAATAGAAGAAAAATACCGTGTTCTCATCTCACCATTTTTAACCGCCAAGCAGCCTGTTTTGTAAGGTATATTTCTATTGAAGAGGGGAGATTAGGCAGTGAAATTACAGGATCTAATGGCACAGAGTCTTAATGCTCCGGAAAGAAGAATTGGTGGTATCATAGGCGTCGTATATTAACGTGTTACCTTAGTGCTCTTCAGGTATATAGAGGATGGGAACCTATGACAGTTCTGATGGTAGTTTCAGCTACTTTACAAGTGTATTTAAGTATAAAAAAAACAATTACAAATGAAAAAGAAAACATTTACTTCTTCTTTACTTTCCTACTATCTTTTCTCTGTATCGTCTTAGATGACTTACAACATATCGTTTTAACTAACAATATTACTAAAGAAATAGACACAGTTAAAACAGCAACCAAATCTAGAAAGTATTTTTGATAGAATGGCACATGAAGGGCGGGGGAGCGGAGATGAGGTGCGCCACCTGTGCGTATCACATGTTCAACCCAATGAACCACCTCTGCGCTAGGTGATACTGGTCGATCATGATATATCTGGCTGAGATCCCATATCTTTTTTCTGTACCTGATTTAAAAAAAAAAAACATTAAGTATCTCATAACGAAATCTACTCTATATAATGTTTATTATATTTTAAACTGTGATTGTTACAGCCTATGTTGTAAATAATGTAAATGACGTAGTGGAGTAACTTGAAACAGTCATGCTCGCTATACAGCTCAAACTTGTGGCGGCGTAATGAGCAGGGTCAATTTACTCCCCCTAATATAGTTGAATGCAATGATGACTGTGTCTATCATACTTGTGAATGGGTGCTGCTTGTGGGGACTGGTCTATTCGGATTACCAACACTGATTAGACTTTTTGCTTTTGCAATAGCATATGCCGGTGGTTACTCTTTTCTCCCAAATTTGAATTTAAAGATGAATCTATATTATTGTAAACATGTACAACATTTATTTGAAAAGATTACGAGCTAAGTTTCAGTTGTCAGTTCTTCTCATCTCGAGACCAATCCGAAGTGACGGTAAATTTGACATATCATAAGAGTCTATAATAGACCTATATAAATAAAGATATTTTGAATTAAATTTGAATAGACGATTAAGACTAATACACTCGTCTGCTTTAACTATTTACTGTGGGGTGCCATGAACGGATTTTGATGAAACTTTACAGTAATGTAGCATCAGAATAACATATAGACTATAAATTTCATACGGGTAAAACCGCGGACACAGCTAGGTATAAAATAAAAATAATAATCATCAAAACCAATTAAACTTACTTCGAATCGGTCAGCATGGTTTGAATGGCCGGTTTCAGATCGTTTGGTAAATTGGTCGTCAACGGTACATGGATGGCATAACCTTTTGAAACGGCTCTGTTCACGTTCAGAAACTGATCAAAGTATATTGGTATGCCTATTGTTGGCACACCAAAATGTATAGCTTCAGTTGATGACAGCAATCCACCGTGAGATATGAAGAACAAACAGTTTGGATGTGCTGTAAAGCAATTTAATTATTAGCTATTACTATCAATATGTTATGTAAGTTCTTAGTTTTTTTAATAATAACAATAATCCAGTTTAATTCACACTAGTCTAGTGCGTCTAGTGCTAAGATAAGCAGAGCATGTAGGTATTAGACAATTGATAGAAATACTTAAAATACATTTGTTTTGTACATATATATAATCTTACATGTAAAATTCTCGTGTCACAATGTTAGTTGTGTGTGAAATTCATAGATAGGTCTGATAATGAAATAAATATATTATCTATTTTAAATGTACATATAAAATTTCATAAAAATCAGTTAAGCCGTTTTGGAAGAGTATGGTGATATGGTAACTAACATTGTGACACGAGAATTTTATATATATCTATTTTTCATAATCCTAAGTGGTCAGGGTGGTCCACCACAAAGAATTTTTTAATATTTTGGACAAAATTGTATTTTTTATACTATGACATTAAAAAATACATACAACCCCTATTTTTCAATAGTGATTTTAGTCTATATAGCAAAACAACGTTTATGGGGTCAGCTAGGAATATATAGAAAGCACTCAGGTCAATACTGATAATCATACTACTAATATACGTCGACGTTTATTAGTAGTATGATTATCGACGTTTTACATAATCTTCCTCGATGAGAAAAAGTCTTTAAGTTCATTATTGATCTAAATTTGAAATTCAGTTACCCAGTATACTATGTTGAGGTGCCCACTTCAATGTATGCACATTTTTAGGTAAATTCGGCAGATCTTCCTCGTATTTCCATATAACAGTTTGCTTTAGTTCCCCGAAGACTTTGAGAAGACCTTCAGTTACATGTTTTGGGATATCCTTGCTTTGCCATGTGGAGCCCATGCTGAAGTAAATGACACCATGTTTTGAATTATCCATTAACTTTTGCAGATCCTGTAATAAAAATATAATTAACATATAAAAAAAAATGGCTAAAAAATTTGTTTTGAGCTTAATAATTGTTAGCTGTATACATATATTCTTTACTTTTATCTATCTATATTGTATGTATATAGGTACTAATATTATAAATAGGTAAAGTTGCTGAGGTTGTAGGGGGTAAACTGAACCACTGGGGGTAAAATGACTGACCAATATGAAATTTGATGTCAAGTAGATGAAGAGTCGCTAAGTTTAAGAGAATGATGGAAAATCGTTGGAAGTGGAAGTTCCACTGACAAGACAGCTCTGAATAATAATAATAGTAATAATAATACTAGTAATAATAATTATAGAATTATTTGTGAACTATTTTGGGTACATATAATATATTATTGAAGGCATTGTCCTTAAAAATCTGCTTCTATGAAACGTACTAATATTTATTGAGTATTAAACTATTATATTCACCGCTTAAATTATGATAAATGGATATGGTTAGATTTTATTATTCATAACAAAAATACTAATCACTTACAGTAGGAAGCGGTTTCACTGTTGAATCAATATGAGCGCCGCCAATAAACTTGAAATTCTGCGGGGTTCTCGGCAAATTTCCAACTGCGTGATGTTCATTACCAAATATTAAGGAGGCATTGTACATTATTTCCACGTAATTAGGCAATTTTCTACCACGTTTCTCTAACACCGGACCGAAATATTTCTCATACACTGCCTCCTCTTTTGGTTGTAACGAAAATCTGTAATTTCAAAAGATATAAATTTAGTTATCTCATGAGTGACGTGACTTACCGATTTGACCGATTCTAAAATAAAACTATAGTTGTCAATTTAAATTTCTCTCTGACCTTCTGGTAATGAAAATATACCCATCTACATATATATAAATAAAATTGGAGTATCTGTTTGTAATATTGAAATAACAGATTTTTACTACATGCATATGAATATATGTATGGTACAAAATAACATTTTTTACAATTTTTGTCTGTCTGTCTGTTTGTTCCGGGTAATCTGGACTGGTTTTGACGGGACTTTTATTGGCAGGTAGCTAATGTGGTAAGGAGTAACTTAGGCTATTTTAGAAAAATAAAGTTAAATTCCACGCGGCCGAAGGCGCGTCGAAATACAGCTAGTAACATATAAAAATGTGTTGTGTAGACTTTGGCAGGCTCGCCGTTAAACACACACAAAAAAGTGGGCATGTCGTTCCTTTCACGAACAACGTCGAATGTTGACAATACCTCTGTCCAGTCTACACCATATGGTATACAGTCATGTTAAATAAATAATACATTTTATGTACTTTTCATAATTCGAGAGCATGTAATACAAGATTCAAATGCCAATTGCTTCTTAGGCAATTATTGTCTGAGAAACACGTTGGCTGCTCATACATAGAATATAGCTTCTAAACTGTAATATCAAAGTAGTGAGAGGCATTGTCAAATATGGACGCTAGCTGTGTGAACACGACTCGAGATTCTCATGTTTCATTTAATAACTATACCGATATAATAAAGTGGGAATGCAATTTATTATGAGGAAAGTGAATTCAGGAACCACCACTGATTTCGGAAATTAGTAACGCATAAATTTATAAATTACTGGACAGTTCAAAAAATATTTTACCAGCAAAAAAGCTATACTATCCTTGAGTAACATAGGTGTACGGGCAACCGCACATGTCTGCTTACTGTGCAATACAAATACACAATTGCCGACACATGCAATTTCACCTCATCATACTGCTATTAGTAATAACAATCAAATCCCATAATAGGCTATATAACATATATAAAACTTAGAAATTTATGAGCATCCGTCGAAGTTATTAAAAGCAACAATTTTATTATTTTTAAACCCTTAAAATTAATAAAAGAAAGTGTTGAAACGAATTCGTATTTATGTTATATGTGAATACCTACATATAAAAACCAAACGAGTATGAATTGCCTCAGTGTTCATGGCCTCATTCCATGTTATTGTTTAATGAATATAGATAAAGAATTCATTGAACTGCATCTTACACTTTAGTACCGTTCGCTCTGTTGACTTAGAGCTAGTAATGAAACAGATATTCTACTATACACAGATTATTGACATTTATTGTCGATAATATGTATAATCAAGTAATCAGGTCAAATCAGATATAATCAGGTAATCTATCAATCGGTAACTTTTGTTCCGATTTCCCGATATTTCTATGCAAACAAACGTCCTGATCACATAATTAAAGTGCATCGAAATATCGGTGATTCATAAATAAAATTATTACGCTAAATAATCCGTTTACACAGAAATTGAAAAAAGATTACAAATTATTTGCACAAATTCAATTAATGCAGCAAATAAACAAAAAATTCAATTACCGTTTCAGTACAGTCCATTCTAGTTGCAACCACAATTCTTGAATCCTTTGTGAGAAGGTAAGAGGCGGCATATTGAATGATAAGTAGTCGACAGTATATGCAGGGTTCGTTGGTTCATCAATCAATCGCAGTACTGACGACTGAGCGCCCATGGAGTAACTCCATATCATTGGACAATTATATACTACTGCAAAGCTGAAAATAAAAGTACCAATTATTCCATCTCTCATTGTGACGTATGCTTATTCTAAATTCGAATTGTCGCTAACTAACAGATAAACCAAATATTATATATTCAATTGCAATTTTTCTTATAAGTAATAAACACCTAAAACATTATTTGTAGTTATATTTGCAATACTCATATTAATATCAACCTAAATATCATAAGACCAGAACCTATAGTCATAGTTTCTGGAACTAAACTCATTGCCATTCACTAAAAATTAATTATATAAAACATTACTTAATTTATTGGTCATATAACAGTTTATTTATTTATTTATTTGTTGAATGTAAAATATTTTGAACAAATTATAAACAAAGAATTTTCATTGCTTGTGAATGAAAATTTCGAGACCAAAATACCTAATTTGTGTTTAGCGCATTACATAAAATTATTATACATATATGTAATTTTTCTTCAAATTCTGCTTCAAATTTAGAAATAATTATATTTACTATAAATTTCTTGTATTATAACATTATTTTTCCTAAGGTTTAGTTCTAGCTACAGAGTCAAGAAATAGCAAGAAAGTCAACTATTCATATTTTTAAAGTCACTCTAGAATTTTTTTTTTTATTGGATTGTTTGGGCTATTGTCAGATGTGTAGCACCTGTAGCACTGCGACCTACATAGATCTATTGTGCTCGCCCTTTTCAGAGTTCGCTACCTATGTCTACAATACTAGCTACGCACACATACATAGGACGACAGACAGCGACAGCGACTTTGTTTTATACTATGTAATGATTATTTTATTATAGAATAGAATTATGTGAACGAAAATTATTTATCACAGTCATACCGTGTGATCACTGAATGGCATGACTTACGTCAGAGTTAAGTGTGTTAAAAAAATATGTAGTAGATATATAAATACTTAATATAGGATCAGAAACTTGATTAAAAACTTAATAAAAACATGTAAGGTCAGTTACATAATTCAAGTTATAAATGTTTTTATTAAGTGTACTTATCCAAAATTAATGTAGCTACCTTTAGATTAAAAAAAAATTGTGACGTGCATCAGAAGCGCCATAAAAAAGTAAACAGGTTAAATCAGTGGTTCTAACCTTTTGCTGCATTAAAACAAACAGACATATCTAAAACCATTATTTATCTAATCTAATTATCATCGTTATTATTAATCTAGTCATGATAAATAGAGCATCACTAACATCAGCAATGTCCATGTCAGTTTCACCTCCACGCGGTTCCCCTTTGAAACCATCGTGATAGATTACTGTTGAATTTACCTAACTGACCTAACCTCATGCTCATCTTATCATCCTCCACTAGTACCGCACCAGCGGAAGCAATTCCATTATCATCCATTAAAAAAACACTACTAATACTGCACTCCGGCTTCACACGGTTATTTGGAGTATTTTACACAAATCGTGGCCGAATATGTATATCAATTGAGTAAAGAGTGTATTAATGGATGAAAACCTTATGAAAATCGTTCAGTAGGTATTGAGTTTTAAGAAGAAGAAAGGAAGGAGGAAGTTTAATATCCAACAACCTTCTCAGTGGATCTCCGACAGAGCGCCTACTGTCTGATTAGAAAGTTCCGAGAAGAATATATGTGGTGTTCCCACAGAACTGAACTACCATCCAAATGCATCCAGAAGTGCTTCCCACCCTTAACATACTTCAGCTAAGACTACAGAGGGACTATTTCCCCGGAGCCTCTGACAGTCTGAAAAGAAACACTGGGGGGTTTGAAGAGTCAAAATCTCAAATATCCCACTCGCCCCACCGGGCTTATGGCCGTATTTATGAGATTTCGCCTCCTTAAAAAAAGGCAATACCTTTTTTTGTCACGAATATATACAGACAAACGCGGCCGAGAACTTTGTTTTATAATATACATATATTATATTTTAGATATTAATAAAATACTTGTAAAAACAATATAATTAATTACTTAATAATTATAACTACTGTTAACTAGTTAATACTTACGCTGCAAAAAGTTCCGTTTCGTACAAATCCGATATGACCACGTCGAAGCGTTCATTAGGATCGTTCAACAACTTTTTCACATCCTCATTCTCAAAAGTGGAAATAGCATTTAGGATACTAGTTTCTTGAAGACTTGGAACATCATTAAGCGGTACTCCGGAGGTCATAATCGCGCCAATATCCATAATTCCATCATCTGATCAAATATTAAGTAAATATTATTGTTTAAATAAAAGATATTTTACTAGGTATAGTCAAGGAGAGTCAAGTGACTATGAAATTTATTCTACTGTATATCTACTATTTCACCCTACTCTCGAAATTCTATTATGCATTAACTTTTAGCAGAGGTAGGTAGTACAAAGTCGAAGTCTCCCATGTGGGTACTTCAGTCTTAGTTATTTCTGCCGCCAACAGCTAGTTTTGTAAATTGTTTTTCGGTTGACAGCCAAACTGGTAATCCCAGTAAAATTATAAAGTGTGCAAACTTGATCCTTAGTGTTCAGGAATAGCAATACATGACAGTGACCAGGTTGAGCTGTGTTGACCACAACATAATGTCAACATAATGTCATCATGTAATTTGTCACATTGAATTTGTTTTCTAATGTGTGTAAATTATTGTTTATTTTTATTATTATGTTCTTCAAATAATGTCAATAAATTCTAATCTAACCTCTAAATAAGCTCAGTAGATTGATTTGATTGTAGCAATTATTTCTATATGTAATCATCCAGACAATAACACAAATCAACTACAATTACCAATGTTATTGAACCATTTACCCTTTGTTCTTCAATCGTTAACAAATTTAACAATGTATTCAAACTATAAGCCATATAAATACATAGTATTAGAGAGTAAGTATAAATCATATATTACTTTACACCAATTTAACTAATTCAGAAGCTGATTGGCCGCTGATGTATGTGAACTGAGGGACTGAGGTTACTACACAGACGACTATTTGCCGTCTACTAGCAAGTTGATAGTTATGTAAAAAAGTGTTAGAAAAGTTCCTTTCCAAATCAAACCAAAATATCTTTATTAGTGCAGGTCGATTACAGACTCTTACAGTAGTAGTTACCTCCAAATATAACATTAGATTAATAATTACACTCCCTTGTCCCATGGTCTGCTAATTTCGTTTGTTTTGTTCTGTATAATTTTATATATTTATTTCTGTTGTCTTCAATGTTTGTGTTTCCTTTAATTTAGAGCCTAAACAACTACTATATATACCGCACCCACAGGTTATAATACAAGTAGTATCTGTTCCAACCTTCACAATGGCAAAATCACCAAACTCCGATGGAGCCATAATATAAAAAAAGAATATCTTATATATGAATAAAAGAGCAAGACGCAAATTTCTTGCTCATTCTACTTGCAGTGAGTTTCGAATGAGTGGTAGAAAAAAAAATATGACTATTCGAAAGTGCTTATATTAAGTTTATTTGAATAAAGATTATTTCTATTTCTGTTTCTGAATTTATATTTACCTGGTAATGAATACATGTTATTGCTAACGTCAATTTGTCGAAGTTTGTTTCCGTAACCATGATCCTTTAATGGATAACAAGTTATGAAAGTAACCTGCAGAAAATTTAATACAATCAATGCATAATCTAATAATAATATTCCTGATAGTGTCAAACTAAGCAGAGCTTGTGTTATGGGTACTAGACAACTCTAGAAATACATAGATAAATTTTTCGTAGATACATACATACACATAGCAAACACCAATATAAACAATCATGCTCATGAATACAAATATTTGCATCCTGTGAGAAATCGAACCCGCAACTATTGGAATTAAGGCGGTAAACTATATTAGCTTAACCACCGAGACTGTCGTCTAAACGGATACAATAGAGAAAGCACTCAATTTTTTGAATATGTATGTGTAACTATTTATTCTGTGAACAATAAAAATAAAGAGTTTTCGTTCTACTCTTATTTCAATCGAACAATAAATTTAAATTGATCCAAACCTTTGTTTGGTGATATATTATGAAAAAGTAATACCATGATAAAATCACAACTGTATGAATATAGAAAACTTTATATTAATTGTAAAATACAATTAATATAAAGTTACGCCAATGTCAAATTTAAGTATAAAGGTATCAATAAAAAAAAGTAAAAGAGGGCGATCACAATAGACTCCTTAGGTCACAGTGCTACAGAACTATATCAATAGCCCAAACTATTAAATAAATAAAAAAAATTACCTCATGACCAGCGGCTATAAGACTCCTTATATGTCCTTCTCCCAAAAGAGCAATACTTCTTATAGGTAAACTATATATTATTAATACATTATACGCTTCCACACTGCTCATTAATATAGCAAATATTAAGAAAATCATTTTAAACCTATTAAAGTCTAATAGTGGTCAAGTGAACACGACACGCATTGTATCACTAAGAGTAATTCTTGGTTCGATACTAATATTTGGTACGGTCAACAACGACAGACGAAATATTTATCTCTATATATAATATCTGATAATTATACAAATATAATGATAACGACTATTCACGCCGTCTTTACACTGGCTATTATCTAACTGCTTTTGCAATTTGGACGAATGTTATCGTATTGTTAAACCACGCCATATTGTTTACTGTAACATTATCATATTTATTGTCTTTGATGCCAAATGTAAATTGTATTTTAATCTTATTGATCGTCCAAAATGGACAAACTATAGAAATTAAAAAAACTGTTTTTTACAAACTTATAACAATATTTCCTTATCTAAGGAGCCGCGTTTTTTTATTAATAGAGGTAAAGGATTGTCAGTAAAGGCGACATTCCAGGTTGTTGCCATGTCAGATTGTCAGAGCTACCATTAGAGCACCCTGGAAGCCTTGTTGTTAAGTCATAGTGAATATGCTACGTAGATTAACCAACCGACCGACCAACGTCATCCTTCTATCATCCTTTACTGGTGCTCCGCCAGCGTACTGTTAGCGCAGGCGGGTGCACCATATAGTATTTAATTACTAAGTATGTAATTTTTAATATCTTTTCAACTTCTATATATGCCTTTGAAATACGTGTTTTTTTTTTTTGTTAAAATGCTAATAAAATATATTTTGAGAACTGTACGTTAGAATATTTAATTTTATGACTATATTTTACCTTTTAAGATTTTTTAAACATTTCCTTAGTTAAAACCTATATCGCATATCATAAGTTCTATGTTCAAATAAGCCAAGTATTTAGCGTCAGTCGTTAAACTGCGATTGTCTGATTAGTCAGCAATTTAAAAAAATGTTCTTCTAACTATTTATGCGGCTTGAAATTAAAATTCTTATCTTTCAACCTTTTTACTGACCATCATAAAATTAAAGGTCTTATGTTACAAAATCATGCTACTTCTTTGCTGTCCATACTTTATAAATATAACGACGATTTTTATTACGTCATCTGACATCTATTATATATATGCTTGTTCATAATGTTTGTGGCTTTTATACATTTATTACGATAACGTTAATAACATAAATATATAATATATCATAATTGTCTTTATTTCGGATAGATATATATTTATAGGTCCGCGAAAATGATAAGTTATCGTATTTCCTATATGGTAGTTACTAGGTGTTGTGTTTGCACGAATTACACCTCATATATGTATAACTAGCTTTGCCCGCGATCTCATCCGCGTGGAATAGCCCTTGTGCCCTTGGCTAGCATTTTAAATTATTTTGGCTAATTAATTTCTAAATAAGACATGCATGACATCGTTCTAGCTACAAAAATGACAAACTTCTATACAAAGATTTTCATCCCCTATTTTATTTTAGCCCCCTAAGGGTATTTTTAAATGTCATATTTATTTATTATAATTAATCAACATCCTAAGAAATAACTTTCAAGCTTCCAGCTTTAAAAATGACGATACTTCCATACAATCTTTCATCTCCTCTTAGGTACAACCCTTTTATCACATTAAAAAATACCTAATAGCGCATTAAATATATATACACACCGTATACATAACTAATATACAAAACAAAGACAAACAAAACAGCCTATGACCTCGAGATATATAAATTCATTTTCATTTTATTTCATGATTAAACAGCTATAAAGACAAATATGTAGACACTTTAGCGTTTCGGCTATGTGTTATTCTGATGTATAAGCTACATCTGTATGATGTACAAATCTAATTTGTAGCTTTTGTGTGAAAGAGTAATAAACGTCCATCGATCCATGCATCTATCCATCCATACTCACAAATTTTCGCGTTTATAATATACGATATACATATATATGTATAGATGGATGTCTGATATTTTCAAATTCAAATTCAAAATATCCTTATTCAAGCAGGTCTATTACAGACTCTTATGATCTTCCGTCAGTTCGAAATGATTTCGAAATGAGATGAACTGATAAAAATTCTGCTCGTATTCTTTTCAATGTTTACAATAATACAGATTAATTTTTAAATTCAAATTTGGGAGAATTTAGTAACCACCAGCATATAGCAAAAGCAAATAGTCTAATTAGTGTTTGTAACCTGAACAGACCAGTCCCCACAAGCAGCACCCGTTCATGAGTATGACGGATAAAGTTTCATTAAAATCTATTCTATAGCTTTTGCGTGAAAGAGTAACAAATATCCATCCATACTGCCAAACTTCCGCATTTATAATATTTGTATTATATATAATATATATAAGTATGGATGGATGGATGTCTGAAGTTTCGGAATATTCACATAACTTACACATTCATGCGGGGTTTTACGCAATAATTATTTCATACTACAGACTCCAGCTTTTAATATACCGGTTATACGTATAGGAAAATGGCTGGAATACCTCCGAGCAATTTCGACGTTCCGTGAAGCGTGACCGGAATCTTGGGCCAACCAATAAAGCAATTACCAGACGAACTAATTGCATCAAACGAGTTCCACTCGTAATTATGTTAGGAAAATCTTGTAGTTTATACTGTAAACTTAAAACGTTTTCGTTTTTCAGTAGGCTTTTTTAACTATTTTTTCCATGTTCTCAATCTTGGCCGTGTAGGACTGTAGTAAATTCTATATTAGAACGTGTATCTAAAGCTGCACTAGCAGGCTCCTACCCATTTGGTTGGACAACGAGAGAAACACGAGCGGTGAAGGTGAGTATTGAGGTACGTCGACAAAGGGGCCTCTTAAACCTACACTCGATTTACAAGTCCAGGGAATTGGTCAAAGTTTCACTACCACATGATGGACCTGGCCACCTTGTTGTTGACGTATGACGGCAAAGGAGTCTCTGCAAGAGCAGGCTCCTACAAGATCTAGTTGTACAGGAAGCGAAACACGAGCGTTGAAGGGCACCCTTAACGTACATCAGGGCTCTTTAAACTTATACCCGGATCACAAGTCCCAGGAACTGCTCGGAGTTTCCCTTTCTGCCACACAATGGATCCAGCACCGGGACGATGAATCCATGGAATGCTAAGAAGTTTGGCTCCCGAGAATAAGGGGTATGAAATAATTATACATTAGTAGTAAGAGCTAACTAAGAATAAAACGATTAAATTTATTTGCCAAGTTTTATTCTTTAATTTTTTGCCTATGAGAATTATAGATTGTATTTACTAAGCACAACAAAGTTTGTTTTATATAGTGTTATAAATGTTTTACATAGACTGAGCGACAGATTAAATAGATAAGAACCACCATTCAGAAGTGTTTAACCTTATAATAATAACTAGCTACTCGCCCCGGCTTCGCATGGGTGTACATTACTGTACATATTATATATATATATATATATATATATATAAACCTTCCTCTAGAATCACTGTATCTAATTTTAAATATCGTAATTTTAAAGATTTATACATACATAGGGTCGTACAAACAGCGTCAGCGACTTTGTTTTATACTATGTAATGATAATAATCATCTCAGGACAATTCACACAGCACCATCGTGACCCATGTTAAGCTAGCTAAAACTTGTGTTATGGGTGCTAGACTACTGATACAAATACATAGATTTTTTTCATACATACATAGAAAACACCCAGGACGATAAAGAACATCATACTCAAGTTTGTACCGTTCGAGGAATTGAACCCGCGACCATCGGAAGTAAGAATTTTCTATTCTAATGAAACTTTAATATTTTCTGTAGGTTTTTATTTTCATACAAGACTCGTCTGTGCTGGCCCTTAGACTGATAAATAAATAATAGTAAATGTCAATAACTTTCTCAACATATTTGAGGTTATTGATAAGAACAACATTTATTATATTATTTAAATAAAGGTCAGTTAGATATGACGTTTCTATAGTTACAGGGCAAAAGAGCAAATGTTATAGCGTTTGCCACATTAGTATTGAAGTCTTTCCATTCTATTAATAATACAAAAGTGAAAGTTTTTGAGGATTTGTATACAAAAAACCCTCAAATATAGTATAGATTTCAATCTTTTTCACGCAATAACTGTCATATCCTAATGAAATTTTATGCATAGGTAGATATTATTCTAGATGAACATTTTATATTTACGAAAGCTGGTTACAACTACTTTTACAATCTTCATATAGTTGTCTATAGGTAGATAGAATATATTTTATTTGTAATACACAGTAAAGAAAAAAGCATAAACAGTATATTAAAGGCCAACATATATCGTTACAATAAGGCGGCCTTATTGCTGAAAGCAATCATTTCAAGGCAACCTTAGGGAAATGGAATTAAAAATAAAGTATTATATTAAATAGTGACGCCATCTACGTAGGCTTTCAACAATTGCCGACGCTTCTTTCTCTATTGAAGAATGGTTTCTTTCGGACTCTGTCAATGAGCGAGAGAAAAATGCTACCGGGCGACTATTTTGTGAAAGTGTTGCTTGTTCAGAAGCATCAGTCTCTACAGTAAACATTTGTGTGTCGTCAATAGCAATTAAAGCAGCGTTTGCAATATCTTTCTTAAGACTCTCAAAGGATATTTCTGCATCACGTGATAATGGAAATGAATTATTAGTCGCTAAATTGCTTATTTTCTCTGAATAGTTATTTATCCATTTAGAATAATGTGCAAACATACCTAATACTCTCTTTATTTATATCTGTAGGTGCAGGCATGGAGAGTAAAGGTTTAAGACGCTCTTTATCAGGTCTTACAACATTGTTCTCTATAGTATAACCTAATATTTTAATAGTCTCAGAACCAAAATTACATTTGTCTTTGTTTAGAGTAATTTTATACTTTGCTACAGTTGCCATAAATTTTGCTAGATTAGCATCATGAGTAGGCTTATCCTTACCACAAACAGTAACGTCATCTAAATATGCATAAGTGTCAGTAAGATTTTCGTTAGATATGATAAATTGCATCGTTCTTTGAAATGCTGATACTCCATTTGTTACTCCAAACGGTATACGTGTAAATTGAA